GGAATGAGACTGAATCAGAGCCGCCAGATCAGGACCAATAATATAGCAGATTCTTCTTTGGATCTTATCAAGGAGCTAGAGGTAAATAGCAGGTGCACCGGGCCATATGTGGCAGTAATATTCTAAGTATGGATGAATGGCCGACTTCTAGATATGTAAAATAGATTCTAGATTCTCGTACGACACAGTGAACCAACTTTCTTAGCAGCTGACCTAGAAATGGATCCAATATATCCTCTTTACTTCTTGTCAACTGAGAACATTAATCCGAGAAGGCGCAACGGGTCACTTTCCTGGAGGTTAGCATCAGCCATGCTGATGGAAGGAAGTGAGGTGTTTCTCAGATGATTAATGGAGAGAAGTTTAATTCTGGAGAAGCTTTCCGTAACAAGTTATCTTTTTTCTAATTAAGGACGGAGTTTTCTCCATGATTAGGCGTTCTTTTGAATCTTAAAGTCACAACATTCCAATGGATCATCCTCCCTAGCGCCGGCCTTAAGTGCTCCGAGGCTCAATTGGCATTACCTTCTGTGAGGCCCCAGGTTCACAGACAACAGCTGTAATGGTTTCATTTACATATTCTTGATTTTTCTCATAAGCGATGTATCCAAAATATAAACAAACACTACTGACTTAAAATTTCAAAAAAAAAAAAAAAAAAAAATTGCTATCGCTTGTATTCTTTGTAAAGCCTGAGATTTGGTGGCTGACAAAAGGCAGTATTGCTTATCCTCCGGTTGACAATCCCCCCCCTGATCTTTTGAACAGGATTAGACGTTTATCTCCTGTTTCATGTTTATGATTGGGTTTCCGCTTCCCTCTAAAGTCTTTTCCTTCTCTTTCACTTCCGGTATCCTCCATTGTGTCACCTTGGGGCGGAGTAACCCTCTACATCGAGTGGCTCTTGGCTCTTACCCAAGGTGAATATTATTGTAAAAAAAAAAAAAAAAAAGTATCCTCCTGTGGAGTCCCCTTAGACATGGGTTTCCATTTGGGAGCAATATGTACAAAATGTTTTCAAGATGCTCATATATCATGGTCTCTTTATTGCTTTAGTCAGGAATGGGACTCAGGTCATCTATAAAACTTATATACTAGCCATTCTAAAAATCTAGTCATTTAAACTGGTTTTTTCTTGTTTTGCTCTGACAAAATTCAGATAACGAGCATTGCCTGTAGGTTATTAAAGAATTCTGGTTAGTACAGCACCACAACATCAGTGTACTCAATAAAAGCAAGAAACACCTGTATTTCCGGCTAGGTTAAAGGGGTGGGGCGAATGAGAGAAACCTGAAAAGAAGGTTAGAATTAAAAAAAAAGAACACTAAAGAAAATATTTAAAAATGCAAGAGCGATAAAAAGAGAATAAAAGATTCGAGTGATTGTTTTCTTGTTAAAAAAAATTACTGAAGAAAAAAAAAGAATAAAAGAATGTAGAGTAATGGTAACATTAGCTGTTTCCTTATAAGGAAACATTCAGCATGTATTGACCAAGCAGCGAGTACTGCTCGATTTAGACTTTTTTCACTTCGTGTTTATTGAGTTGGGATCAAAGTGTAGTATCTGTTCTCTATATCTCTAATGGTAACGCTATTTTTTTTAATCATTTCACACAATCAAGGCAATAAAGCAACTAAGACTCAAGGGCTTGCTGAGTGTGAGATAACTAGAAAAACATTAAGGGGGGACAACCGATAAAATAAAAGTAATTAAGGACAATAGATAACGATTGACATTGCATTTAAATTTTTGAAGATCAAAATTGACTGGAAAGCAAGAAACCGGAAGAGAGTTCCACAGCCAAGAAATGCGAGAGTAGAAACTGTTAGCATAGAACATACGATTACATCTAGCTGTTCTCACTGTAAAATGATGAGACCTAGCTGCCAATCTAGTAGAACGTTTTAAATTCATATAGACGAAGTATCAAAGAACATCAAAACAATTACGATGAAAATATTTATAGAAAATGCACAGGGATTAATATTAGCAGTTTCCTTATAAGGAAACATTCGATACTCTTTTGCCCGAGCAACTAGCGCTGTTTACTATTAAAAATTATACAGTATTAAAACAGTTTTTCAGAAAACTAGATTTCCCAAGTCCAGGTTTAGAGCTACATCAGGTTGAAAACACCAGTTCTCTTTCGATCACTGTAATTAAGCAACGTCAAATCTGGTCATTTCTAAATGGGTGACCGCTTAGGAATATCGGATGATGCCAGCTTGGATATGCCGATGGTATAATGGATAACGGCTACAAATCGAGAGTCGATTTCCAATTCTAGTGGAGTTCATTATGTTCAGGTATGCGCAAATACTTTTGAGAAAGGTATGAATCCCCTTCTTCGCCCTCTCTCCCAGCTATGGGTTAAATAGCAGAACTTGTATCAATATATTATCATCTCCAAAAAAAATTCTTACAATCCAAAAATATTTTCTGTCTTCGAATAACTTAGAAAAGTTTGATAAGCCGTAAAAAAAGAAATGAATCAATCAATTCTGAAGTCCATTGTTATCGTTTTTTCCAGTATCGAGGAGTCGGGGGAGGCTTCATTTGGAACCTGGAACGTGGAACGTCAAAAATTCGATTGTGTCACTATTTTATCTCAGAGTTAGATGTGATATCCATTTTAATCGTTGATTTTGAAAGCCTTCAAGTGATGCAGTTTCTGTTATTTGGTACAGTTCTTTGTTTGTGATTCGGTAGCCCCAGTTCACAAGGTTCCAAAAAGGATCGTGCTCGCCAAGATCCACAAACTTCACTCATTGAAAGCTAGCTTGAAGTAGTGTGGAATGTTAACATGTCATTAGATTTCTTCGAGTGACATGCGCTATTTTGATTGTTGCCATTGTTGCAAGTCGTCAGTTGATGTGGTTTCTCTCATTTGGTACAGTTCTTTGTTTATGATTCTGTAGCGTCAGTTCACAAGTTTCCAAGAAGGTCCTCGTTTGCTTCATTCGCTCGAAGTCATTTTTAACCATTGATATAAGAAAGCGATTGTATACAGTTGTCAGTTGAGATATCTTTTAAGGGCACCGATATTCAGACAATTTAAAAACGATATTTTTAACTCGTTTCACCCCAGCAAAAGCAATAAAGTCACTAAATCGCAAGAGATTACTGAGTGTTAGAGAACATGAGGAAAAAAAAAGAGTATTAAGTAGAGATAAAAATAAGACAAGATAACTATTGACAGTGCATTTAAAATTTTGAAGATCAAAATTAACTGGGAAGCAAGAAACTGAAAGTGAGAAGTGCGATAGAAGAAACTGTTAGCATAGAACTTACGGTTGCATCTAACCATTTCAGCTATAAAATGAGACCTTGCCGACAATCTAGTACTGCGCTTAAATTCATAAAGTCTAGGTACCATAGAGGAGTGATATTTATTCTGTTTAATACAGAAATGTGGCACATGGCCGAAGGGGGAGATTGGGGAAAGGACGGTCTTCTTCTGCCTTAACTCTAACTTAGCTAGTCACAAACGCTGACCCAATCACACAAACAATTTTCTTTTAACCAAAACAACACATTCATACGTACCTTTCTTACTAGATCCACCATAATACCTCTTTGTCTCTATGAAAATACTAACTAGTCCCCGTATTTACAATTCATTGTCTGTGGAGGAAGGGGAATAAAACAACAATTCTAAAAACTAGCCCCAATAGAGGAAAGTTCATCAGAACAATTACCATGAATGTAGAAATGGCATAGGGAAGCTATACTACCGCGGGGGAGAGAGACTGAAGCAATGGATATTCTTTTTTGGATTTTATCAAGAATTTTTAAATATATAGCAGAAGCAACAGACCAGGTGTTTATTATTATTATTATTTGGTTACTTATTTTAGTACATCATTTTTAGAATTGTTAACAATGGCATAAACTATATTCAGAGCATTATTTAAACGAATTTGCTATAAATAATCAGCATTGCCTTTTTTTTTATAGCCATCTGTCACTTAATGTCATGTAAGATTTTTTTATTTTTATTTTACCTAAATAGCGAAGTAATCGTTATAATCTTTTTATTTTTTACATGGTTAATCGAAATAAGTTCTACATAATTTGTTGCTTTTAAGGAGAAAGACAAAACCCGACATGTTAAAGGCGATGTTTTCACAATCGTCTTTAAACACCATCAATTTAATCTTGGAGTTTGTTCAATTTGAGCTTTTCCACTAACCCCTATTAGTTGACATTTGAACTAATATTTTTATTACCCTATTAATATTTAAGTTCAACCTACAAGAGCAAGATTAATTATGACATCGATATTCAGAGAACTTAAAACGAATACTTGGTTACTTATTTTGCATAGGTGGCATCATTTCATATATAATTTTTGTCATTGACGCAGGCTGATGTCAGAGCATTATTTTTAAACAAATTAGCCGAAAATATTCAACAATGCCC